TTCAGCTATATAAGTCAGGTTAAATGGGTTGTATGTCGTGTGCAACTGTTTGCGCTCAATTTGCGATGGACGCGTATTTCATACGTGGGTGTGCGCTACTTGTGCCCTAGTCAGGATATATGGCTTTTACTTGAAATACCATGATGCGGTTCCCAAATCAGACCCACTATAATGACTCCGAACATCACCAGGAGGAGAACGGGTGGTCAAGTGGGGTAAGGTGTCGCTAGGTAGGTCTGTTCCACGTAAGCCCAGAACTTCTGGTTGACGGTTGGCATCGTAGATTTGTCGCAATTAGGAAGGATCATTCTCATTCTCCTTCCGAGTAACTTTCAGTTGTCACTGTTAAGTTACTATTCAGATGGCATTATTTTCCAAGCGACTGAGGTCCATTCACTCACTTATACAACACGTAGCATAAAGTGCCAGGCAAAGGAAGGTATATGCTTGGAAACTGGATTTCAGAAAAATGTTAGAACTCAATCTCATCGTTACCAGGAAAAAAACAGTCGCAACAACTTAAGTTCCCACTTCTTGATCATGTTAGCTACCCTCGCAGGTGGATATGTTCTTTTTCCCGACACTTTGAAACTGATTTGGTGCTTTAATCTACACTAATACGTGCTGAAATAGTACACGTGACCTGTTAAGACATATGTTGGTTTATGCGTATTGTCAAGAAGATAACTGTCATTACAATTTAATACAATGGGACGATGGTGTCCGACGGAACATTAAACTGTGTATTAACGTCATGAGGCATAAGCCAAAATGTCATATATGTCATGAGATATTCTACACGTGAGATATTGATTTCGACCAATGTGTTCTTACAATAACCAGCCCATGACAATAATTCCTAATAAGATAAAGTGAGTCAATAACATGATTCATGTATGTTTGCCGTCGGGCCCATTATTCAATGTTTTATCAGGTCCAACTTTATAAGTGATACATCAACTGGCTAGTTTTTTATGCTAAGGCAGGAGGTCTCAGTGTGACAATTAATCACGAAGGAAACTATTTGCAAATCGTAATTGTAATGGCATTAATAAATCTCCATCCCGTATCAAGCCACGGATGGAATGTATTTGTCCTGCGGTCATGCACGTTCTGTAGGTTGCAGATTCATATGGAATCATTGTTGTCATATCAAAGTGAAAGATGAAACGCTGCATGATCATGATATTTCAGTCCCATATCTATTTGATCGACACGATTTCCTAGAATTGGTTTTGTAACTGATTTTATCTAGCTCACATTCCTAATTGTAGCATTACGCTTTGTGTTTAATACCGTGTGCCAATATCTAAGGTTAGAAATTCCAGACAAGTGAATGTTGAATTAGATTTTTGTGTGCACTTTTGCATATCTGTACACCGTTCAAGATAAACGGTGGGTATATTCTCTGATTTCTCTCCTGGATAGTGCAAGGAGAACTACTCATAGGTCGGGCATTGTTGTATGACAATGCGTGAAAAGACGACCAATGATCACCAAGGCAACTTTTTCACTCATTTTTGTGTGTATGTTTAGTAAATCTTTTTTCACTTTTAGGGAAATATGGAATTTATTGTCAATATTGTCATGTATTCTACCCTTCAAAATATGGTTTTGTTTACCTGCCACTTGATATAAATTGACATTGGTCAGCTTATACGAATAGTAAGCAGACGGTTGAACCTCATGTTACTTGATCATTCTTTGGTTTAACTGTATGCACGCAGAGGCAGTTCAGGGTTGGCAGTTAAAATACAATAGGATACCGACTAATACTTTGCCGTCTAAATGTTCTAATACAGCTATTTTCTAATATCTGTATGCAATGGCGTCATCAAGCAACAGTTTCCATAGAGCCGCACTAATCTGATTCATTGAGCATAAACTTAAGTAAAATATTTCTTTCAGACATTATTAGGTTATAAGCAGCGAAAACGGTATGTATAGCAGGAAAACTAAAATATTAAAAAAATGCAACTGTCAAATCCAAAGGAACTTTCCGTTTCGTGCCTTAAATAATGTGTTTTATCCCGATCGCTGATAAGGGTTAGGGTGATTACGTTTTCAAAAGTCTTTAGGACCCGTTGAGATCAGGGTTAGAATTGATCTTCAGTAACCCATGTTTGTGTAAGAGATGACTGACGGGATCGGGTGGTCAGGCTCGCTGGCTTGGTTGATACATGTCATCGAATCCTAATTGCGTAGATCGATGCTCATGCTGTTGATCACTGGATTGTCTGGTCCAGACTGGATTATTTACAGACCGCCGCCATATGGCTGGAATATTGCTGAGTGTGTCGTAAAACTAAACTCACTCACTCACTCACTGATTTCAAAAAGCATCATATGGCTCTCTGTTGAACTTTTCATGCCACGATTGAAATTTAGTACGTGGCAAGACAAATGCATCACGGTATGGTAACGATCAGCTGTCACACAGTGACGAATTTAGGTATTCGTGAACAGGTGACGGTCATTTTATATTTTTGTTATCGGCGTTTCATAAATTCAGATCGACACTCCACTCACACATTTGCGCTCAGACCATGCCCAGTTACATGATACCCGGACTGACATGACAGAATTCGCATTTACTGTTCTTAATAACTGTCGTCTCTGGAACTAAGCTTCAAGCTTTCTTGTCGTGATCTGAAAAATAATCACTAGTGGCAGTGCCACTCACATTTTCATTTCAAGATGAACATGTTTTCGCTAAGAAAAACAAATATCCTCCACATATCTACGGCTTTCAAAATAATTATTTTATTTCTATTCCCCTTTGATCCGTAAGAACTTGCACAATGATAATCTTCATGGAATAGCATGACTATTTATCTTGTAAATAAATCTTTGTGATCTTTCATTTCGATGTCTTTGTTGAACAATAACGCCAAGGGACCACGAATTTAGTTCGCTATATCCGGCGTATTTAAAGTTTTTGCGTGTACACTTTGACGTCATTGCTGGTTCATTAAAATTCTGGTTACTGCTCATTATTAGAATCTAAACAATATCTGATCCTATTGATGCTACGTTTAACAAAGACACTTTTAGAACAGACTTCATTTTGCCGACTGCATCACAAACGTTTGTGAATGTTTTGTTTGAAATCAGATATCATTCTGACAGCAAAAATATTATAAAGGACTGTTCAGCATTTCATATACCGTGTAATAATATACTATCGAACACGGGGCGGTGGGGTAGCCTAGTGGTTAAAGCATTCGTTCGTCACGCCAAAGAACCGGGTTAGATTCCCCACATGGGTACAATGTATGAGACCCATTTCTGGTGTCCTCCGCGTGGTATTGCTAGAACATTGCTAAAAGCGGCTTAAACCTTAACTCACTCACTCACTCACTACAATCGAACGCCGTTGTGTCGGGTGTCGAACGTATGGTTGGATCGAAGTTTCAAATGATTTCAAATCACAAGGGCAACTCACTGGGGTACAAAAGACCCACATGTCAAACATTTTACTATCACACGGTTCCTAAAGATCCGGGTTAGAATTGGTCTTCAGCAACCATTACTTGACATTACAGGCATCTAATGGAAGCCTTGTAGAATTGGTTGATCTATGTCATCGTACCCCTTGTATGGATCGATGCTCCGGATGATTTCAATTATTCATGACACTCGTCATAATCCTGGTAAACAAGATAAAGAACAATGTCTCCTGTCGCAAACAATATGCCAATATCTCCCGACTCTGGTAAATTCTGGCAAGACGATTGCTTGTGTATGTTTATCTTCATTGTAAATACACTCCTTTTCACCGTAGGAGGGTTTTCATCCCTTACACAAAGGACGATACAATGATATACACTAGTTTAAAGGGCGGATTGGTTCCCTAATTGTTGAAACGTTCTTTGTAAATCTTTAGTGACTGTAGTCGTGTTACATGGGCTTCAAATGTTAAAATGTTACTTTTCTCTTATGGTTTTGGATTTGTTTGGATCTCTCAGGAAGTTGGTATTTGTTCTTTATTTCTTAGTAAGTTTTTGTAAAGAGTTAAAGATTGCCACCAACAAGATTAGTTTTCAAAAGTTTGTGAATTAAATAAGTTATGTTTCTATCAAGAATATAAATCTCTACTTACAGTTGAATATTATTTATCCACTCATAAGGATCGTGAATATAGAAGGCTTTTATTTTTGTTAAGATCTGGGGAATTGCCTTTAATGATAAACGTTGGTAGACGTTGTTCTCGATGGACGATTTTGTAATTTATGTATGAATGGATGTATAGAAGATGAATACCTTTTTCTGTTAATATGTAAAGTTTATTCCATTTTAAGACGTAAGTATATTCCTGAGTATTTCTGGAAACATCCATCTATTTATAAATTTAATGTGTAATTAAGTTGTGATAAAGTGAATATCCTAATTAACTTAGCAAAGTTTATAAAAGAAGCTTTAAGGTTCAGAAGTGTTTAAAAGGTATACCTAACCATTTTGTCATTGTTATTTTGTGAGTTTTGTACTTGGGCCTTTGACCTTTATACCGAATAAACTTTGAATTGAAAACGCTGGTCAAGTTGGAGACCCGAGCTCGATTCCCCTTATGGGTACAATGTATAAGACCCATGTCTGTTGTCCCCCGACGTAATAATGCTGGAATGTTGCTAAAAGCTCTCATTTACTATTACTCAATGTTGCTAGATCCCTGGAGCAAAAGTGATATAATAAGTATGATACATAATTATGCAAATCATCCCCTGATCCTGAGATCATGACAATTTCACAAGTACCTAAAACTTACAAAATCCTTAAACCACTATTAGAAATATCTACGGAGCCTGAGTCCATCTACGATTCCGACTATATCATGAATATAGCTACATAACAAAACAAAATGATTACCAAGATCATAGACACATAGTCCGTCTTGGTCACGCATAAGACAAGTATAGTTGAGCCACTAACAGAAACGAATTCCATCGATATGCCCTTGTGTATTTTAATTGAAGTTCACGTAGTTTCTGTTGCTGTTTCAGCTGGTACGATTCGGCACCAATGGACCTCTCGGCGTATTTTGAAGACATCGCATGAGATCATTGAAGACATTCGATGCTCGTGTGCAAACGGCGAGGCGAGAGTGACATAAATATTTATTTTGTAATAAACCTCCCAAACCATAGACTACTACATGACTTTCTGACGATACTCGGCATGGCTAAGAGGAGAGGAAGAGGAAGATGAGAGGAAGTGGCGGGGAAATGGCGTGCGTTCCTGTTTCTTGGACTAGATATAACAATACCATATTTACATGACATTTAACACAAACCATTGAAACCATTTCAATAAAAAAGGCATTTGTGAATTGATCTTCGACAGATTGCTGAATCAACATGGTGAACCTATCTATAACTTAACATGTGTGCATTTTACTGTTCGTTCTTTAACCAAATATTATTTTTCATGTGAAATGTTTGACCAAAATGTGACATTAAAATATTGTTTGTGTCTCCTAAACTTCAGTCAGAAGGATTAAGTTATCTATTGAAATGAAGACAGGAAGTTGTAATTATAATTATATTATACTATATTATAATATAGTTATTCTGACGTGTTGTGTTTGTGATATGCGATTATCCTCCTATACATAAATATCAAACTGGAGACCTGGAACATTCCTATTTTAATGAAAACTTAATATTACACATATTACAATATAACAGTTTGCCGTGTTAACTAAAAAGCGACCACTTACAATATCGGTTTACTAATGTAAGAAGAAAGTCAGTTTGAAGATTTTATAGAAATATATAGTTTTAATCTTGTTAAATGTATCTAAATTCTTCATGTATTGTGTAATTGCGCGTATTTTGAACGCATAGGATTGTGAATTTGAACAGATTAATAATGTATTAATCTATTCTATTGTCAAATCTGATTCATGGTGCTAAGCAAATATACATGTACTGTTAAACACTGAAGTGGTACACATGCTTTAAGTAGATTCTTCTTGTTATCGAGTACATTTCAACTGCGGTATTTGATGAGATTTTGATGACATATATAAAGAAGTAATACTATCAGTCCATTAGTATCACATGGCCATGCCGTATTAAGGTTCGCCGACATCGGAACCACGGGTGATAGACATGGAGGTAGTTGTTCTCACTAACAGTGATGTACACGTCTTCAGTAATTGTGTTGCTTTAGCAGGATTTCGATTTGAAGTGTGAAATAATTGTTCTTGAGGGTAAAATCTCATATATTCAACACGACACACGGGTATAGGTTAGATATTATCTGTGGCTGATTCCGGTAAATCAGAAAAACACAAATTATCTGCCAACTTTACATGATTGATAATATTCACTAATATTGATTGAAAATATGTTGCCTGTTAATGTTGATGCCACTAAGTTCACGGCGTGGAGCATGTTCTATTTGGATAATTATATGGTGGCTGCGGAGGATATTCGTATGTGTTTGTTGTTTGTAAACAAGGCGTTGCTCGCTCTACCGCAGTTTGGCACAGTCGCCACTGTACATCAGTTTGTGTGTACACATTACGTTTTGAATGTTGTTTTACATTTTCCCATCGGGGATTCCAGCTCATAGATCTGAAGCAACCTATGTCTTTCTGATGTGATAAATGGAACAAGTGGCCATGCTTGGTGAATGATTCCATGGATCGATGCACTGGATTGTCAATCACTTCATTGTCTTGTTCAGATTCCATTAACAGAGCGCCTTCACATGGTTTTAGAATTGCTGAGTGCTGCTTTCACACAGCAAGTGCGATCGTTGGATTCAGCAGTCAGTTTGCACGGCCGTGATTTTACATACCATCATTCTCCAGTTCAGTAATATTAACCACCAACTGTTTCACTTTAAAAATATTCACATCGCTTTAAAATTATTCACATCACAACAGCGACGCTGATCTATAAAATCTTTGCTCACTTTTATAGAGCAGTGAGTACCGATGGTTATTATGCCATTCAACACAAAGCGATGAAACCCTTACCACATTCTTTCAAATCGTTGCGGTACTCTTCAGACTAAATCATGAGCATGTGTAAATCATCAGTGTTGTATATCATCACTATCAAGCAGTGATGATGCCATATATTGGCGGAATGGTGCACATGCCACAAACACATGCAAAGACACGTCAACCGTTCACCCTGAAACCACATAAGCATATGGTAAATGTGAATAGGAATTGCATCAGACATTATTTCATTGTCACGGATGTGTAACATTATTAGCTGTTCACTGGTCCCGAGGGGGACATGGGCTGATGTACCCTCGGTGTTTGTTTATATGGAAACATCGAGGGTACATCAACCCATGGGACCCGAGGGACCAGTGAACAACGTATTTATCTTACCGAACACCTCAATGGTAATTTTGAACTGTTTGAAGCACGGGTATCGGATCATAGTATGGAGTAGCAGACGACAAGAAAAACACATTTAGAGTTATCTCCCTTCCATCAATTTGCATTCGCAAAACATCGGTAATTTCCGTACATCATACGTGATTCAATGGTATTCGAGAAAAAGAATTACTACTACCAAGTACCAAATGAGTTCGGCATTCCCAGCGGGGCACGTAAATAAAAACACATAAATACTCGTTTGTAAGCGGGGTACATTGAAAATAATAGAAGAGCCCTCATCCAATCAGAAAACGACATTTATGTGTGAGGCAAGATAATTGGAAATGTCTTGCATTTGGGTACCGTAATTTGTTTTGGAAGCATTATTTAGGCCTAAGGCATTATTTGGGTGTTGTTACGGTGAGGAGGCGAACTTCGGTCACGAGTCGTAAGACGATCCTTGAAATTTGAAAGAGCATGCTGGAGTGTACGATAAAAAGGAAACGTTGACTATTGGCAGTCATTCATTTTGCCATAGGGTCATGTAGGTCTATTTGAAACAGATGAAACGGTTTAACTTCTATGTCAGAGGAAGGATATTGGCTTTTTGACAAGTAGTGAACGATTACAGATCATCGATGTACTTATAGGGCTTACATCTATGTTAAACGTGTTGGTCACATTCTCCCATCCTAGAAGACATGCATAAGACTATGATTCATACACATAAAGTGAGTGAGTGAGTTAAAATTTAACGTCACCTCTGCAATAGTCATATTCAGTCATATAGTGACGAGAAATGTATTACATAAACAATAAATTCATACGCATAAAGAGCTGGGAAGGAATGCCACAAAACAGTGAATAAATATTGTTTTGTACCCTTTTGGTAGCGAGGCGGGGGACATCCAAAATGATATCAATTTAGCAATGACAACGATGCATGTATCCTACCAGCAGAGTGTTGTAGCAATAGAGGTTAGATAATCAAATGTCGTCCAGACAATTCAAAAGATGATCGCCTGAGCAAATGGTTTAACAGAAAGCTTGTATTGTCTATTGTAAGAACATGATACCACATTATAACTCAAACGTTAGTTTCGTGGAAAAAAACTACTTCGCAGTGCACTTAACGCAATTTCTTGGACTTCTGAAAAACAGCCTAGCATCCATCATTGTAAAAGAAAATTATGCTGGCCTTTTAACATTCTAAAAAACGCAAATGTCCCTTCTAAACAGATTACAAAGAAAGATATGCAAAATGGAGACAAACGAACCGGGTGTCAATGGTGCCTTTCATCTTTTCAGGAACAAAGCCAACCCCCTTTCTTGTGAACAAAATATAACGTTCAGTTTAAGATAATATCGACCTTTTCCGTATGATGTGTGACTTCCATGCATCCGCGTCATAAAGGAATGCTCACGCCTTCATTCGGTTAGTGATCAAAGTCTATCTGCTGTGTCAGCAATGTTTCAATCTTGTGACAAGCATGAACAAACGATCTGTCGCACATCTGACTTGAAATTCAAATAGCTAGCAGCATATTAACTCAGTCCTCAATCTCTGAACAGTCGTGCCATCCTTGTATGGCGTCTGGCAATAGTATGCTATGTAAAGGACAGAGAGTTTCGGCCTTGGTGTATTTACCAGTTATATATACATGACCTGATTATGTTAGCGAATATGTTACCAAAACCTTCACATTAATGCATTAAGATATCAAGCTACACTCAAATCAAACAGTATCACTATCATTATCGCACTAATCTAGGACCGCCTCCGTGGTGTAGTGGTTAGATCGTCCGCCCCGAGAGCGGAAGGTCGCGGGATCGATCCCCGACCGCGTCATACCAATAGACGTTAAAATATGTTGGTCCCTGCCTGGCGCTCGGCATTAATGGGTACAACAAGGACTGGTCGGCTCGGACTCAGTATAATGTGTCTTAGAGGGGTATTCATGCTTCACTGCGGCATGGTATCTCAGTGGGCTAGCACTATCAAACCAGCTTAAGTCTGGGCTAGTACAAGCAGCCGCACATACACAGACACACGCATGCACGTCGTCATATGAGCGAAATATTCTCAAGCACGACGTTAAACCCAATTTCACCTCACCTCGTCCGAACTTAGACGAACATATCGAGAGCAAGCTTACATTAAAAGGAGTCTCCTTGTTTTGTTAGCCTATGTTGCAACGTCAGATTAAGGACAAAATAATCGCCTGGGATGAATTGTTTTCAAACGCAACAAACTGAGTCTAAAGCTTTCACGAAATATCCGGTGTCAAAGAAATATATGGATAGCAAGCTCTGATCGGTTCCAGAACAGAGACATGGCACAGTTCAGGATACCATATCAGGCAGGGGACCGTGGAGTGGCTGACGTTGCCATAAGGGCAATGTCTGATTATGGACGTGGATGAATCTCAGGTAAGTTTGTAGTGGTGCCAAGTACTGAGCCATTGTGAAGCTGACCTGCCCCTGTTGGGTATGATGGCACTTAATGGTCCATCGCGTAACTGATGTTTCTGTAGAGGCTACCACGTCAGTTTGCACATAGATTATCTGAAGTCACGATATGGGTGCGAATATCATTTAGAAGGTCACGGTCTTGTTCACCTTAATCTGTAGAGGTGTCATGTCTTTCTTATGGAAGCCGACATATGTGAGGTTCACCTGTAGGTGGATGTTTATGTGTAGGACTACTTTGTCAGTGAGTCGTCCATTGACCAAGGAAGATGTCAGGTCATATGTGAACTACTGGGCAAATGACTTTCGTCTGTTGGAGTACCATATCAGGGAACATCGTGGAACTGACGTTCTTCAGTATAGGTTCAGGTATATGATTTTCTTACTCAAAAGAAAAAAAACAGTACATGCTGACTATACTATACCTATTCTTGAGTACATGACACGTTTTTATGGATAACAACTTCTTTTTATTCTTTTTACGAGTTAATTCTTGCTCACTCACCAGGTGAATGACTCCTGTTATTCTTTACACGACGTTTCAGAGCTAATTCTTGCTCCTTCATCAGGAGTCATTCACGTGATGAAGGAGCAATAATTAGCTCTGAAACGTCTTGTAAAGAATGAAAAGAAGTTGTTAACCATAAAAACGTATGGACACTAAATCTACATGCATTGCAGTGTGACTGTAAACCTCAATATCAATATACTGACAAATGTGTATAATTATTAAAACGATTGGGACTTTAGCCCGCTTGGCAAACGTACAAATTTGCACAACCAACCTACACAACACAAGATCTGAGTAAATAACGTAAGTTTGTTCGTCAGCCACAGGACCATCGCACACATTTAGCCTCCTATAGAATATATAAAGTCAATATTTATAACATGTTACAATCATTTACAGAAGTACATATGTACCAGGTACAGCCATGATATAAGAGAATTATAGTCTGTCAACCCAACTTTTGGGCCACCCGTTTTGTGAAATATCTTCCAAATAATAGCAACTGACTACAAGCCATTAACGTATAGCTTAATGATCCCCTTTGACGTAATAAGAAAAAAAGTTGTAACTTTGTTGGTCACGTGGGAAAAAAGTTACTTAAGTAACTATCATAAATAGTCGAACCCGGGCCTTCAGCGTGTCGGACTGGTCAAGCTGCAATGTTGACCAGTGTTCATCAGATACACAACTTCCTGTTTTGTTCATTACGGTAATGGAACTTGAGACGTAGTAGTTGACCTAAAGCAAATTGAGTAGTTTGTAAAGGTTTGTAAAAAGGATAATATAAGGAAATACGGAAACACAACAGGCTGTTGAGAACTGCAAGTGAACATAAGTAGGTCCCGCTTTTTGGTATGTATTCTTCTTATACTTTTCGTCCACCCTTTTTTAGACAAAATCCCGTTTCCTATTGGTCTGGTATCGTGTTTCCTATTGAAATTACAAGGTTTCTAGTTCTAATCGAGAGCACGAACACTGTGTGAGACCATCACTTAAGCATAAGATTCATGCAGTATGAAGTCCCAATCAGTAGTAAAGCCCAAAGTTCGCAAATCCTGAGGGAAGAGTGGTAAAACTGAACAGGAAGAGCCTGCGTTGGCGTCAGGAAATC